GCAAAGGTTTCTGGTACCGAGCCTTAGGCCACTAGTTGACAACATTTTCAGTGGTGAAATAACTACACATGACGATGAGTCAAAACGGAAGACGCAATGAAAATCCCAGCTTCATCACAAAAAACCTACACATACAAAGTTAAGCCATTCGTAACTCAACGCGTAACGCACAACACGCGATCTACTTTACGGTTAGAATCCGTTTTTCCAATAAATTCTCTTGTTTTCCTTTCTTTTCGCTTGATTGGATAAACACCAGTTGTACACATTTCAGCAGTTCCACCATGAATGATTTCAAATACAAATTACTAGTAAGGAGCCTAAGTTGCCCGCCATGTGCAGATTCATATAATACTACAAAAAACTCGCACACGCTTCATGAAGTGACCAATTACAGGAAACTTAACGACTGACAATTAGAAACATAGGAGTTCTCATCAGGGTATCAACGACAACTTTCAACTCATCTTCCCACCTCTTAGAGCCGATGTATCAGCTTTCACTCAAAATTCAAGTAGTAAAAGCGAATAAATCCACAATCTCAACATGAACAAGTAATTTCTCATTCTAGTAAAGCTGATAGCGTGACACTGCCCTACCCCATCAAAGTAAATCACATTAACATGATTAGTACGATTTCCTCGACCAGTGATTACTCACTGAATGCGGATCAAACTACACAGGTGCTCCGCTTTCTCTTGTAAGTAATCAACATTACTCTATGACAAAGCGACAAATGCATTATGACGTTGTTATATCGCCGAAAAGTGAATTATCCGTACTGACCTTAATTACGCGTCATGTGATGCACTTCTGCGAATCCGAAATAGCATGACGGGAAAGGAAAGTTTTACTGATCAGCGCTGAACTTTCACAGCAGATACAGCTGTTTTGGGACACGTTTCAGAATGTTTTCGACCGAAAGTCATTTCCTTTTGCTCCAGACTCCAGAACAAAGCTATACGTTGGCAGTAAAAAAAAATCTAGAAGAAAGAATTCATCTAACCAGGCTAGAGAGTTGCAAGGACCTTGTTCACAGAAATCAAAAAGACTTCCTAATATCAACAAATGCAGAATACAGGAACAACTTTCGACTCAGTAAAGCTTGAGGTCTCACAATAGTACGTGGAAGCTCCATCCAAGGCAAAGTAGGAAGTTCTCAAAATGTGACCACTCAACGAGCACCAAAAAGACAATGTGTTTATGTTTGAGAAAAAATTTAACCCGACAAGCGGATGCGGTATTGCAAAACTAAAGGGTCGTATTCAGCATAAACTGGGAATCAGAATCTACCTTAGAGACCCACAGAATAGAATATAAGGTTAGTATCATACCCTATAATAAAGCGCAGGGGGGACCATGCGACGTCAACAAACGGCGAAGAATGTTTGCCCAGATCTCTGAGTTAATTCTTGCACTTTCGCCCGCTTCCATACTGTTTACCGTTACAACTCAACCTAAGTGCAACCTATGACGTCATCAATGGTATGATGTTTTGTGCCATCTTCGTGTTCCGTCTGCTTCCTTGATGTTTATCACGACGTCAAGCTAAATGCAACCCCAATTCCGTCGCCTACAACGCTGTTAGCGGTCGTTTATTTCAACCGCCTTACATTTTGCTTTATTCATTTGTGAAAATAAGCAAACGTCGGATAGCATCTTCAGGTCGGTGATAATACTTAACATTGATATCTGCATTACATCTCCTCAATTCTTTCTTAATCAGTGCACCACATCATCACTGTTTTTACCACTAAACGTATCTACATGCAAAAACAAATCTCAAAATTGAACCTTCCCTTAAAAATCAAGCAAAATCATATCACTCATTGTCCATTTTCCTATTGTGCACCATTCCATTTTTGTCTTATTACCAAACGTATCTCATTAAAAATTTTCCAATTTTACTCTGAGAAGACCCTTCCACAAGAATGAAGCAAAAGAAGCGAATGAAGCATGCTGAACATATCTTCACGTGAAAAATTCCTTAAACTCACTGTGAAAATCGAACCTATTTGAGAAAATAGTTAAACATCAATACTGTGCAAACTTTCCAAATTGTTATCCACTAAGTGATGAAAAAACATGGTGATGCGAATTGCCTTGAAACACTAAACGTTTTGCAAAAAGCTCACTTGGCAAGCAATGCAGGTTCTAAGAGAACACTTCATCTCAAGATTTTAAATTAATCCAAAGACTGAAAATTTCAAAAAAAAAACTGTAAAAGTTACTGTGATCGTGAGAGAAGTTTTGAAAAGAGCTACACGCTGTCTGTCTGCTATCAATATACCAGTTGTGAACAAAAGAGATGGAAAGAAAGGGACGCTTCACTAACCATCAACTCAACCCTCGCTAACCTCAGGAACATGTAGCTTTTAAGTGCAATTTTGTCAGAACACTGCACTACCTCAAAATTGTATAGACAGCGGTGATTTGCTTGAATGAACAGCTTAAATTGGATATACGCTTCAATACTAGCTCTCTTTACGGAATTCGAGTCAATAGCCTACCAAGATGAGTTGGAAAATGGGTGCGCTTTAGAGCATTTCGGGTGGAATTTATAGTCCTAAATGGGCGTCTTATATGGAAGGCTTTCCAGATTGTTGAACAATTTGGAAAGCCCATATAAGACGCGAACGCGAGCCCTGGCATTAGAATTTTTTAAAGCATATTTCGTGAGGCGGAAGGGAGGTTTTTTCATTTAGGAAATTACATAATAGTAAGTTAGAATTTTGGCTAAATGCATTCAAGTGCGCTGAGTTGAATCCTCCTCTTGCTGAAATCTCGCAAAGAGTTACTTTGAGGCCCATATGAAAATCCTCCCAGTGGCAAAAAAAGAAGCGGCGTCCCCAATGATGAAAAGCATAGCAGTGTTCGCCCGCGGCCCTTTTATGACAAGGGACGTCGCTTACTTCACCCCAGCTTTTCATATGGGCCTTCTAAGGTAGTTCGTAGGGACAGTCGATGAGGAGAGCAGAGCCCCGGGTGAAAACAGCCATGAAAATGTACATAGCTGGGAAAAGCTTGCCGGGTTTGTGACGGCCACTTTGGTCAGAAAACTTTAGGATGTGAAAATTTGAGAGTATCCGAGGAATTTCGCAAATGTGGGAATGAGCAACTTTGGCAGCTATAGTTTATGGTGATAACGCTGAAACTTTGGCTCAAAACCGCACACCAACGGTTAGGGCTTGCGCTGCATTTCGCATGGCAGGAGGGTTCAATGAAAGTGGGAATGGACAAGTCCAAACGCCGCAGACATGATGCAGAATCTTTGCGTTGCGCAGCTCATCACATCAATTTTAGCCTGATTCGGTGCACAGACTTTAAAGGTGTAAGGTGGCGCATTTTCTCAACTCATCTTTGGAGCTAGATTCGAAAGCGATTAAGTAAGATCAAAAGGATTTGAAAATGCGAGAAAAGATCGGTAGTTTCGGCGGTTTATAAAGGAAACATTTGGATGAAAACGAGTTGGGGGGGGGCAGTTTGGCTCAGAACTCAGGAATGACAATAGAACGCGAGTTGCAAAGCAAGCTGAGAGGAAGCGATAATTCATCACTTTGGTTAATGATGTAACTTGGGAAACCATTTAAAGCAGGAGATCCTGACATTTAACTTTGATGATCTCCGAATTTGTTAAGTGTCTGAGAAATCGCCATACTTTTGGAGGAGAAAAGGTTTCCACGCTCTAACTTTGAGAGTCATATCCCACTTCACACACACAGCCAGTCCGGAGCGCCGCGAAGCGGCGCTTCGGACTGGTTCAGCATAAACTGGGAATCAGAATCTACCTTAGAGACCCACAGAATAGAATATAAGGTTATATCCACTGGGTTAGGTTAGTAAGTGCAGTAGCTGCAGCTGACTACTACCTTGCCAACGGGTTTGTTATGGTTAATCTCTACTAAGGACGATTTCAACCTTATGGTAGGTGTTATGGAACTAGTCAGTACACTGACGCACAAACTAATATATGGTTGCAATCGTGCCCATAATCCACGGTAGTGTTTTTATTGTCGTCTTCTAAATAGCGAATTCATATTCTGAGCCAATCTCAAAATAAAATGGTGCTCAGTGTTCGCAACTTTTCGATAGAAAATTAACAGAATGAAAAAGAGAATTAATCAAAGAGGTTATACAAAATGAGTAGATTCTCTGCGAATATAAATGGTCTACAACAAGCAGAAAGCTGCTTGTTGAAAAAATTCTCTTCCTGAAAAGAAAGGCCGTTTAAGCAGCTAGCACGAAGTGCACAGCAATCATCCATTGCGAAGTAAGAACATCATCGTCAAGGGGAGTTGACTGTGAAATACTTCCACCCTTCATCTTCAAAAATGACCTCTTGTCTATCATCCACTTACGTGGAGATTACTAGACGGAATCACGGCTCGGCACAGGTGGCTTGTAAGCCAGCTGGTATCGTTTTTTGGGACGAAAAGCAAAGGGGGTTTCGTTTTTGTGACCGAAGAGACACGGAAAAATGGGCGACCTTTTTTTTAGTCGACGTTTCGTTTTTTGGGGGATTTTGAGGAATTTTTCAGGTTTTTAGAGGAAATTTGGTTGAGGGTCAAAGGGGACTTCGTAAAAATTCCCAAAAGTCAAGGGGGACTTCGTTTTTTCCATTTTCATCTAGCCACCTCGTGCCGAGCCCTGGACGGAATGGCACACTGATGGCACTTTGCCAGCAAAACATTTTCATGATGTTATCTCATTCACATAAATGCCATACAGTTTCGCAAAAGTATCAGCTGTTCTACAGATAGCTTATTCGCGCTATCAGCTGATCTCCAGACATGTCATATGTTCATCCGTTAACCTAGATCTGGGTTTGAGTGCTTGTAGGTCAAACGCCGGAATTAACCCACTTTCAAGTATACTACTCTAACTACTGCATGAAATAAAAGATGAAATTTCTCGAAACATTCTGTTTAGCGAAATCTCAAAACAAGTTCACTTCCCGAACATGTTGCAATCTAAAATAATAGTACCAAAAGGTGTCCCACCTGCTCTTGGTTTTGCAGGACCACTGGACTTGGCATTACGAATGCGTCCAATGAGGTTGATGGCGGCAACTTTGTAACTTTGCGCGTGACGGACTTTGTCGAGGATCGCCTTCTCTTCAATTTCCGACTGAAATTCACTGATATACTATAAATAATATACTATATATTCTAAGAGTATAGTTAAGCCTTGTTTGAAATGAAGACTAGTGTACTAACTTTCGCAAATAATACACGCGGCTCTTCACAAAGCAAATACTCCACCGAAAATAGCAATAAAGATTTAAGATAAAATTGGAAGAGTAAACGATATCTTTGTACAAATGTGGACAAACTTTTTTCCTTTCATACTGAGTAAACAGTGATAGGCTGCACAATTAAGCCACTTTCATGAGTTTTTCCTTAGTAAGTGTTAGTCGCTAGGTCTACTGAACATACAGGGTAGGGCAAGTCCGGGAGCCTAATAATTTTTCAAATAAAATCAGAAGGAAAGTACCTAGATACGAAAAGTTTAGACGCATAGTTCGAACCTTTACAAATACAGCGCAGCTCTCCGATTTTGAGGTTATCTATTTTGGCTTGAAAGTAGCCCCTCGAAATCTTGGAGAGTCCGCCTGTCGCGGCACGATGGCAGTCGTGATGGAATTCGTCCCAAGCCTTCATGATAACTGCGTTTTTCTTTAGGCAAATGTGTAGTATAATAGAGCAAGCTTGTGGCTACAACATGTTACGAATTTTTCTTGCAATTTTTGGAATTTTGAGCGAAGGCAAGTGTATATACTCGCATTCTTGCAATTTTTGGAATTTTGAGCGAAGGCAAGTGTATATACTCGCATAATGGAAATTTAGATGCGATTGCGCAAAAGGGAGCAGAAAATTGTAACCTAAAAGCATTGAAATTGCTCCATCTATCGAATTCAAATAGAAGCTTGTGTAGAAGACTCATGGAAAGAATATAGCCTAGGATTCAATACCTGCCGCGCTCCTTCAGCTTTCAAATGTATTTTGAAAACAATGGCCGCTGGCACGCATATAATACTTGCAAATTTTTATTTTTCGTTTTCGAATGAAAAGTTTATGGCAAACGCAACTAGTGCGATGTGATAGCGCAAGGCCTCCTTTGCGTTTTAAGCATCAAAGTGTTGTAGAATACTCACAGCATCTTTAGCTTCGAAACAAATTGTGAATACCTAACTTGTATGATAGATCCAACTGCTACAGAAATATATGGCAGGCATTTTTAACTAGGTAAAGTGACTTGTAGAGGATAATCGCAGCATTATGTGGCACAATGTGGAATCAAAACCATCAGCAGTTTCGTGAGAACACTGCAAGATCGGCTCCCAGACTTTTGCCCCACCCTGTAATGGACCTCACGCATGATCACCTACGCCCAGAGGTGCGATAGTGGGAGCCGATTCTCCCCCTACCTTCACTTCTGAGCTGGTACAGGGTGACCACCTTCACTTTTGGAATAAAAAATTTTTCGCTGGACGATAAAGAAGGAAAATAAACAAAACAAACGCAAAGATTATTGAAAGCATATATTTATGTATACGGCGGCATATATATCTTATATATAAAGCTGAATGTCTGTTTGTCTGTCTGTATGTCTGTCTGTCTGTCTGCATGTCTGTCTGTCTGTCTGTACGTATGTTCCAATATCATCTGAAAGCTCTTGATAAGAAGAATCTAACCAATGAAGTCGCAACATGATTCATGCAGTTCTGAAGAAGTTATGAGCTGTTGAATTTCAAAAAGCGCTTTTTTACCTGCCTTTTCAAGACTCTGGGTCTCGGCACTGTTCCAGTGAAATGGTACGGCTAAGATATATTCAGATAAGGCAAACCTTACTCTACAAAACCTATGAAGTCGCAACATCACACAATTTCACTTTCAAGATTTAGATGAGTTCAACTGTCAACTGTCAGAAAACACGCAAAAATGGCGTAAATTTTTAGAATTCTGGTTCTCAACGACTATCTCTCAAATCCAATTCTTTCACTAGCTGAAAGAGCACCATTTACTCTTTAAAACCTATGAAGTCGCAACTGCTGACATCTTCAAACAACTGATTTATAACAGCGGAAATTTCGCATGATTTTTCACTATTTAAATATTCAAAATGCTGGTTCTCGGCCGTTACTGCCTAGATCGACCTACTTCCTTCGCAGTATGTTATGACAAAATTTAACTAATAAAATCCGTGCAGTTTCGCTAAGTTTTACTTCCAAATACACCACTTACTAAACACGTCTATTTTAAATTTTTATTAAATTTATAAATACTTTTAATATTCATCGTATCTGTGGTGGCCCTAAAGAGGGCCGTTGCGTCACAGTTCGACCTAAAAGGATAGCTCTGTTCGTCTGTTCTACCCCCCCCCCCCCCGTCGACGTTTTTGGGAGGTGAGTGTCCGACACTACCACCTTCACTTTTTGCCGGCCAGTGGTAGCTGGGACCACCTTCACTTTCGGTGGGCCCGGCTCCCCCCATCGCGGCTCTGCCTACGCCGCATATGTGTGTAGGTTGGCCGAGGGAAAGTGTTTGTGGGTAGTGGTCTGCAGAGAAGATCCACACATATGCAAGTATAGGCTGAGGCACCTGTAGACCAAATATCTGTCTTCACAACTGCAATGACATTCACCCAGGACTCCCAAGAAAACACCAATTTGGCCAATGAACCTGAAACTAAAAACATATGGCCGCATTGAGCTGGCCATCCGCAGAGGTCACCAGTCATCATACCAAAAGACAGGAGCCGATTATTTAAAAGCTTCTGCTGGTGATACCTAGAGGTATCACCAGCCGAAGTTTTGTTGAGTCGATAAAGAACTTTTAACTCACAAGGGAAAGATACATGGTCAAAGTGGCGTTTCCATATAAAATATTTACCGTCTTTAGGGCATGAGACGCCAATTCCAAATCTGTTTTCGGTATCTGCAAAGCGCTTCTGGGAATGGTGTTACGGAAATGTTTTGAGGCAAAAATTCAAGGATTTGGCTATGGTAAAAGCGTACTGAAGTTTTTCAGGAATTTGAAAGGAGGAGTTATGACTAGCATAAGTCTATTGAGCTGAAGATATTAATTGCATAAAACATCTTGGCTAATCATGACCCCATTTGAGCTCACACACTACATGATTTCATCGTAGCTGCGCATTCAAGTTTTTGAAACAACTCCCATAACTCTCCTCACAAAACAGCTTTGCAGATAAAGCAGATTTGGATAAGCGTTTCATGCTCTATCTTATATATAAAGCTGAATGTCTGTATGTCTGTATGTATGTCTGTATGTATGTACGTATGTTCCGAATAGAAAATTCCATTTCTGAACCGATCCGGACCAATCTTGGCACACATACACTTCGGGCCCCGGCGGGTGTCATAGGCTACTTTTCGTCATCGATCGATATCGATTTTATCGATTTTTATCGATTTTTTTGCTGAGTTCACCTACGGGGCTGGGAGTTGGCACAGGGGGTAATCGAGCATGGGGATTCCGAATACAATATTGGTTTTCAGGATTATCGATTACTTTTATCGATTTTATCGATTTTTTTGCAAAGTTTGAGCTACGGGGCTGGGAGTTCGCACAGGGGGGTAATCGAGCATGGGGATTCCGAATATAATATTGGTTTTCAGGATTATCGATTACTTTTATCGATTTTATCGATTTTTTTGCAAAGTTTGAGCTACGGGGCTGGGAGTTCGCACAGGGGGGTAATCGAGCATGGGGATTCCGAATATGATATTGGTTTTCGGGATCATCGATTACTTTTACCGATTTTATCGATTTTTTTGCAAAGTTTGAGCTAGGGGGCTGAGAGTTGGCACAGGGGGGTAATCGAGCATGCTGATCACCCCCAAGGGGGGTGATCAGCATGCTCGATTACACCCCTGTGCCAAATTCCAGTCCCCTAGCTCAAATTTTCAAAAAATCGATAAAATCGATAAAAGTAATGGACGATCTTGAAAACTAATATTGTATTCGTAATCTGCATGCTCGATTACCCCCCTGTGCAAACTCCCAGCCCCGCAGGTCAAACTTTACAAAAAAAATCGATAACATCGATAAAAGTAATGGACGATCCTGAAAACTAATATTGTGTTCGTAATCAGCATGCTCGATTACCCCCTGTGCAAAATCCCAGCCTCGCATGTCAAAATTTACAAAAAATCGATGAAATCAATAAAAGTAATCGATAATTCTGAAAACTAATATTGTATTCGGAATCCCCATGCTCACTTCCCCCCCCCCCTGTGCCAACTCCTAGCCCTGTAGGTGAACTCTGCAAAAAAAAAATCGATAAAAATCGGTAAAATCGACATCGATCGATAACGAAAAGTGGACTGTGAACCCGCCGGGGCCCGAAGTGTATGTGTGCCAAGTGTCCGGATACGGCGGAGCCGGGTAAGCCAGCTAGTAAAATATATATCTCATGTGGAAACTCCAACCAGATATCCTTTCCTTGTCAGAGACAGCTCCCAGCCAAAACTGAGTGCGGTATGATTTCGATGCAGTACAATAGCAGTTAGGCTTGGATGTATTCAGATTTCGAAAATTTTCATTACATTATCAGCCTTGCATCTTGCCACCAAAGCCCAATTTTGTACCTTCACAAACCTGTTGACAGGTGAAGCAACCAATCCGCTTTTACCTCCTGGAGCGGATCCCTCGTGTTGGCCCTCACTTTTTGCATCGGAACTTGAACTATTACTTAGTTAGAGGCCTTGCTCTAGTACCGCATCGAAACTCTATCTCCTCTACTTGGGTAAACGGTGCCATGAAGCTATGAGGGCGCAAGCAATTTCGATAATGACCCATTCTGACATTACTTCAACGTCTCAAATTTTTGAAAACCTCCACATGAAAATTTACAAAATTTTTACGAATCACGGGGTCAACTACCAATTATAGCTATGCAAAATACTCAGCACGCTCTCCACTTCCGTTTAAACTTGGAAGATTTCAAAATTCCAAGGCTTTTTTCAAGAGCAAAATATAGTACAAAAAAAGATGACATATTTTCTAATGAGTGTAGTGTCATCAGTACAATTACCGTAACACAATTCACTGATTGCTGTTGACTGTTTCTCTTATAATTAAAACCATGGCACCAACATTTTCCAGGCTGCTGACCGCCGCCGAAATATCTAATATCGATAAACAGCCTGCAGAAACATTCTCCGAACACTGAACTGTTCCAAAAGCCTATAACATCCAGAGCGTACTAGAAAAAGGGAGTCCACCCCGCCCGCAATTCTGCACCGCGTGAACGGACTATTGTGTAAGGCCTGAGGCTTACAGCATATCGTCGATTCGTTGGCCGTACGGACTGCTCAACCGCTGCGGACCACGCGCGGCGCGGTTAAAATGTTGCGAAAGCACGATTTTAACAATGGCGAGTTTGTATTGGAGCAAGCGTTTTACCTCGCGGCGCGTGCTCCGCGGTCATGTCCAGTCCGTACAGTCAACGAATCGACGATACCTCACGCGATTTTGGTCGCTGCGCGATTTCGATTTCGCGGCATCGCGGGAGGTGTGCCATGGGCCTAAAGCATACTTCCCGCCCTTTGAATCGCTACATCCACGCGACTTGGCGATTTGCCAAATATTTGCAGATTAACCAGCTTCCGCGTTAGCCCAAACGCCAGATGCTTCCTTGACAAGCGATATAAGCCGTCCACGCCGCGCTCGGAGGGCAAAGTTGCTGCGTCCATTGAAAATGGCTCGACTGAAAGAAGCGCAGAGAAAAAAAAGCGCCAAGAGTGCATTAAGGAAAGAGGAGCGACGCACGGAAAACCAATCGTGCCCTGCGCGAACGACCTATACCACGAAATGTGTGTGAGGAGGGATGAGAGATTTGATGAGAGATTGAAGAAATTCATGCGCCATTTGTGTAAGAGGTAAAAGCCTTTTCAGTCTGATGCATTTACCTGTGCTACCTACGTGGTTTTGTTTGAAACAAATCAGTTTTTTCAAGGGCCTACTGTCTGTGCAAATGGTCGACGCCCACAATCAAAGTCTCTCTCCCCTGCCGGTTCAAGGTGGCGTGGCGACGGAGCAAAGCTACGCCGCAATCGGCTGCGATATATCCTGAGAGACCTTTGCGTTGCGTCGCTCCTACTTGCAGCCGTAGGGGAGCTAATGTGCCCAGCGGATTGATCTATTCTTCATACTCACAATAAAGAACTCACAATGTAGAAGATAGATTATTTTGAGGACTGAGAATAGATTATGAGGAAGAAGTGTCTGCAAATCATGAGAAACTGGAAAATGAGAAATTGATTTTGTTGAAAAGCAGTTGACGAGAAAATTTTTTTCTGCTGGTTCCGCGTTCCACTAACTTAGACTTAGCCTTTGATTCATCCCCAAATCCAACCCTAAAATTCATCTACCTTGAATTTTTATTTTTATCGATGCGATTACACAGTAAGAACATCTCAGGGCGTAGCAATAGGGAAAATGGTTCAATCCACTGGCAGGCGCAGCGCTACTCCTGCGGCTGCACTTACAAGGGAACGATACTCAATGTCCGTGGCCTTTCAAAACGTGATTCATACCATTACACTCGTCTTCGAACGCTGATTCCGAATCTGCCTTCCATTTCTGCTAATCGTTTCCCTGAAGAAGTTATGGGAGAATTTCGAGCCAAGTTTGGCTGCTCAAGGGAAATATGGTCATCGGAACGGCCTGTACCGCGGCCACTTTCTGGTCTAGTGGTTAGTGCAATAGCCTTATAAGTTGACGCAAGTGTAGATTCAAACCCTTTTGTGCTTTTACTTTTGCATTACCTCAATTAAGCTTGTTCGAGAAAATTTATTTGAGCTATGACCATTGGATACAATTTAGCGCAAATAGTAATCATTTTTTCCGAATTTTCACATTTTTTGAAGAGTAAGGGCGTTCACTTAGCTCGATGATGCGAAAGAAGGTTAATTAAGGCAATGCAAAACCGAAAAACACAAAAGGATTCGAACTTGCAACTGCATTAACTCATGGGGCTATCGCACTAACCACTAGACCACAGTGCACCGATAGCGTTGGCGCTCCGACCATATTTCACTGGGCATCCACAATCCGCGCGATCCATTATAACATTTTTGAAGCGATTAGCAGAAACAGAAATCAGATTCGGAATCAGTGTTCTAAGACGACTGTAATGGTATACATATCATCTAAAAAGGCCACGGACACCGAGTATCGTTTCCTTGTTAGAGGCGAAGCAACGCGAATGTCGTTCAGGGATTAACCGCAGAGGGATGCGGCGTAGCGGGTGGAGGACTATATGTCGCCGAATTTGGAAGAGTCCCGCGCGGATTCCCTGCAGGAACGCATGCCCGCGCATGTACAAGGGTGCGTATTTGTCGCAAATGACCGCGGGGACCGCCCTTTCTCGGCGACATATAGTCCTCTACCCCGGCGTAGCTTTGCTCCATGAAGCCTGCCCCCCCCCCCGGGTCAAAGAGCATTTCTGGATATCCTTAACTTCTGCGGGAATAGCAGGAATTCCCTTCACTTTGGAGGATATCGGCTCACTCTATCACGCCTATGGCGCTCATGATGCAGCTGTGTAAAGTTATTCCTATTGTTTGTTGTAACCAAATGACTTTTGAAGAGAAGGAAGAAAAACGAGACAATGGTGACGCTAAATCGTTAGGAAGTAAGTGGCGACGAACCCGATTTTGAGAAAAAAATGATGAGCAGGATGGACACATAGATGAAAAACATATAAAGGATTGTTTTTTTCTAGCAATCTGTTGCATCTCATAAAAATGAGAGGTTCCGAGAAACGTCGTCGTGTGAGTAATACAGGAGTAGGGGGAAATGCAGTGTAGTATTATGTGCTTGAAATGATGCGGTGTAGTACGTGATCTTCAAGACAATAACTTGTGAGAAAACAGCAACACTTTAAATCTCAGCAAAACGAAGGAATGTAATGCTAAATCCAAAATGTAAAGTGCAGCTCCAGACGAAACTTGAGATGAATCAGACATACTTATGATGTCGTTTATGGAACTTACGTTTCGTATAGCTTCAACTCGTGGACATACTTCGAGGTACTGATCAAAAATCCGCTTCAAAAACATCACTCTAAGAGCATAGGGAATCTTCTGATTTGTGGGATCACGAAGTTTTGGCAGTGCAACATCAGTGACCTGTAAATCTGACCTGTATTCGACTCAATCAAAGATGTAGCATAAGAAGACTACCATTACTGACGAACGAGCGGTTCTCGCCTCTCCTTTAGCCACAGAGCCGATCGTACTTGCTCGATGATGACCATACATCTGCTCCTGTGTGACCGGCTTCTGAATCGGATGTGCTATCCCAAGTAATAAGGCAGATTAGGGTGAAATAACAAACACACCAAGATAGCAGCCATGGTGATTTTGCTTCAACCTTTAGACAAGTGGATACTTGAATAATTCCACGGTTGATTAAGAAATATGTGCGCACTCTCTTAGGAATGACAATACGAAAGTTTAGGGCGCCAATAACTACGATACGCTGAGTCATCATTCAGCTAAGCTTGCACTTCCGCACAGAATTGCGAAATTCGGATACCTTTCGCTGCCGGTTTTCGAAATCCCCTGCATCATCAACGCAGTAGGCAGGTAGAACATACATGGGGAATTTCTAGTGAATTAGCCTATTATTCTCGAAGCCGCGAAATATTTAGTGGACCAGATTCTTCGATATAAGCTCGGCATGATTCAGCCTGATAGTGGGACACCGGATACATACATGTGCAGATAGTATGTTGGTAATCATATAGAAAGATATCATTCTATGCGCAAATAGGATGATTTCATGGAGTTATTTTCAGAAAAAAATGAACCGTGAACCACCGATCGAAGCAGAAAAAAAACTTAAGAGAGTGTAAGGCGGTAGTCACTTACGTTACTTGTTTTTGAAGAGCTGGCTGTTGCTGCCTTTTCTTTCGCTATTGCATTCATTCTTGCATAGAACTGCTCCTTTGCCGAAGGCACCTTTTTTGGAGGAACTACAGCTCTTACAGGATGATCGTCCGCCTATAAGGTAGTAGATGCGATGATAACTTACGGATATTCTCGCCATACCCTTTCTCTAGCAATCCGTTTTTTCGCAGCTGTTACAACATCCGAGCTAATCTCATTGTGGGATTTGGCAGAAGAATTTGAGGTAGTAGCCGTCGAGTTCTTCAAGTTATCAGATTTTTCGGTACCTTTGGATAGTTTTGGTGTAGAGCAGCGATCATCCTTAGAGGATTCTCCTTTTTCCATTCGATTGACTTTCTGGAGAATTGATTTACGTAAAGAAATGAGCGGATAATGTGCAGCAACCAACAACCTTAGGAGAAATAGCCCTCTCTTTTTTTGACTTCTTTGGCTTTGGCTCCACGTCATCATCCTGCAAAAGGAAATCATAGCAAACATAAGCTGACTCCAACTTGATTCGATGTGCCACTTTCGCTTCACTAGACTACAGTGCTTTTGTAGATCAGCAACTACATCGGATAGCTGCCAGCTGACTATCGACTGCACAGTAGTTCGCATCATAAAATCACAATTAGCTTAGAAATAAAACAGTTTCAAAGAGCACCCACACCGAACAAGAAGGATAACTCGTCCTCGCTAAGAGGTCGACGCTTAATATGTTCAGTTTTTACGGGTTCTTTCGGTCCTTCGCGTTTTCTTCCGTTTTCCTTGTGCTTTTTCCGCTTAATCTCTTCTTCTTTCATTCTTTGCAGGTCTGTCAAAGGAGTCGGAGTATACTCAACCACAGGAGATCGTTCACGATGCGGACATGCCTATGAACTTTTATTAAGACTACTAGGGAAAATTATCTCGAGAAATACCTTCCGTACGCTATGAGACTTGCTATGTTCAAGCGCATCATTTATCGACGAATTTTCTAGTAGTTGCTGAGTGCTTTCGACAACACTGGGAGGAATATCACCGGAAGTGCTAGCAATCTTCTTCGCCTCTTGTTTCAACTGCAAATGATTAATTCCTCAAAGGTCACATATGTAAACCAAGAATGCTTGCGTCGGGGCTCAGTTGCACTACGAATAAATATTGGAAAAATGGAATGCGCAATATCAGAATCTTAAAGATGATGGAATTTGATGATCAGTCGTTACGATGAAAAACTGGGGTACACAATCATTATAGGGGAATGTTTGTGCCTGCCTGTATCTGATTGGATGCTCTTTCATCGTTATGAATGAGCTCTCGATCGGGTGGTGGGCGCTCGCTCATAACGTTAAAACATAAAACAAACGCGAAGATTAAAAGACTGATTAAGATCGCCCTAGGCCTAAGGCATACCTCACGGGATTCCAGTCGCTGCGCGATTTGGTACCGGAACGACAGCTCATGATTATCAGAGCGCTTTCTTAAGGCAGGACTTGGTCGGTTTGCAAAAAATTAGTGAAGCTACGCGCCTATATATTAGAGAATCTGCGCACGATAAATTTGGAGACATCTGGCAAGCCAGATCGCGTGAAGGGGGCAAAGCCGAATCGCCCGAGGTATGCCTTAGGTCTTCCTTAGATCTATTGCAACCAAAAAATTCGACCGGCTTGCACAGTAATTGAAAAATCAATATTTAAGGTATCGAGGACGTGATCCAAAACATCCCAGTACCTGCTCCTGCAGCTTCTGCAGTCGCTCTATCTCTTCATTGAGTCGAGCAACTTCACCAACATATTCCTTGAACTTTTCTGACTTTGTTTTCGCGGGATGAATCAGAGGAACCTAAAATAAAGCTTCATGAAAAAAAAAACGGCTTGACTTCGATAAGCAAAACCTTTGGCAGAGGAAGGGCTTTGATCTTCTTGGCAATAGGTGTTTTATGGTTAGTCTCCGGAGACAGAGAAGTGTCACGAGTAGGTCCTTCTGAGGCTTTCACAAATTGCTGGAAACTATTCTGTTAGATTACGAGAAGAAAAGCAGCTCAGAAAGGCAAAGAAGTTTTTGTCCAAAGACCAACCGAAGTACCATTTTCTACTGAAACAGCTTGCGATGTTGAGCTTGTCGATGGTTGTTCAGCAGCCACAGGATACGGAGCATAGGGTGGAGGCACGAAAACTGCAGACGAAGAATTCGATGGAGACGGAGCAGGCGCATAGCCTGCGAAGAAAAGTTTGTGCTTGCAACATTGATAATACTCGCTACCTGAGAAGGAATCACTGCCAACCGCTCCCGGCTCCTCGGGAGCGTACTTTGAAGACAGGCTTCCATAACCGTTGCATGGTATGGTTTCGATGGCATTAAATGTTTGGTTGCTCGACACAACAGAAGGCGTTGAAGGAATATGAGGTAGATAACCAAAGTCAGTTATAGAACAAACTCCACAAGCGCTGATTGGTGCATCCCCCACAGGAGCAGCATTAGACCTAACAATGTAATGACACTATGGTTTCGTGATTGACTCTAAAGAGGCCCAGCACATAAAGCGCGTATAGTCAATTTTTAACGCGCTCAATCAAAGCACTAGAAAGTGAGGAAACTCACATTCTATAAGGACATGGTGGAATAGGAACTGCCTGAGTTTGGTGTGAGTACGTGGCTGGATCTCCTTCTTCGACCAGCTCACTAAAAAGTCGGAGTCAAAACAATGCTGAAGGTACACAAGTGATTTCTTGATCCTACATCTCATGAGATTATAGCAGCGTAACTCTTACATAGACTTATCATTTGACATGAAACGCATATATTATCATCGAACCTCATTCTGCACCACATGAATTTAACTTAACCCAACATGTTTACCTTGAAAATGCAAATTTGTAGTCCTGCGGTTCACAAGGGAATGGTGGAGTATCGAGGTACCCGTTGCTTACTGCATTATCTGCTCTTCCTAGAACAGATGCGCGCAGCATTTAGTGAGTGAATCTCCATTCACAAAGCCAACCTTCGTGAAAAAACCGACAGTACGGCCGATCACATCCAATTCTGGGGCAAAGCAACTCAGAGAGTACGCCAGGCCCCCGGAACATTCAAACTTGACCCTGCAGATGCTATCTCAAAAATGTTCGTCCCAAGATATCTTCGGCAATGCGGTATGTACAGATACACTTGCAGTGATGGTCGATCTTATTTATGAAACCAACTGATCATTGATTCACCGGTACTCGTTCAAATTTTATTATAAAATTCTGTCACATTCTCTACATTATAGGCTGATCAACCAAAGATTAGCTAAGACTCTAGTATGCAGACATACAATGAGCAAGAAATTATTCTATCAAAAGCTGATTATCAAAATGAGCATATAGCAATGATTTGAGGGATCACGATGATAAATGAGCAACTATTAAAGAATGGTTGGTGATTCAATATTGGGCAAAAACGATCATGTAATCACAGTTGGCGCATTTCTTCCTGTGAACTGCTCCATCTTGCATAAATCGAGAGCAATCAGCACCAAAGGTTTGAGCAAATCCTGTGCATAAGTTTCAAGGTTTACAGAGAAAATACAAAAAACAAAGTGCAAAAATCGAACTGGCTGACCTGAGCAGGTGCAAACAATTTCTGCGTATCAGTCGGCGGAACATATGAGTCCACATACAAGCGGATTGTGGCACCGGCTGAACCGGTTCCAGATAAGCGAAAGACTAAACGAGAGCCATCCTCGAACAGTATGCGTAGGCCCTGGAAGGAAGTATGATACTACTTGTGTTCCTATATTTTGCTCGCGATCATCAGTACCGCAATTCTAGGGGCAACACTGCTTGAAAGTATAGTCAATGTCTCCAAATATTCGGCTTCACAAAAAAAAAATCACCTGTTTGGAAGCAACGGATCCATCAATAGGGTCCTTGTACTCGAAATTGTCTCCATGTTTGACCTAAACATATAAAAGCTTGTATATGCAGTACACTGTGAAGTCAAGAGAAACGAAGAAGTCATGGTGATACGAGTGATACAAAGGTAGCTACAGCTGTAAGTAATCGATCAAATAATGCAACAAATGCGATGTTAGCCTTTTCCGTACTCTTATTTCAAACATTACACAATACTACAATTCAATTCATATTTTGGGAGCGAAAGGAACTACCTTGTAAGTGACATTATTTGCACTCAGCTCCTTTCCCACAAAAGCACCCATTTGTGCTTCTAAGAACGTCATCAGCAAATTCGCTCCCGAAGCATCAACGTTTTCGTAATCGTACCTAGAACATCCGAATATAAGGCGCATAATAAGACCTCTCACATAACTGAAGCAGAACCACGATGCATTTCCATCTGTCTAGGGGTATACAAGATGCAATGCTCAATCACTGCAGAGTATGGATGAGCTACAAGACACAAACTTTGACAGAGTGTTTACGCATTTCGCTTCCAAATTGCAGCGTAGACGCAAATGCAAAGATATATGAATTTTTGTGAATGCGTATTCATGCAAAACATAACCGAATAATCAAAATGGCAGCCTATGAACCTTTTTCTGAACAAGCTATATCACAAACAGCAAACCTAGTGAACACATTTCTTCCGTAACGCTTCCAGTGAGCTTTGACAATGTCTTCCACCGACGCTTTCTTTTCAGCTAAGATTTGCAGCCAAGCCAGCATAGCCCATACACCATCCTTTTCCCTAAACGTAGAGAACACAAAAATGCATAAGCTAGTATTTTTACAAAACCCTCACCTGATATGATCACTGCCTGTACCAAAGGACTCCTCTCCGCACAAGTAAATCCGACCGGCATCCATCAAATTTCCAAAATATTTCCATCCTGTAGGTGTTTCGAAAACCTATAATATACTGCATGATTTGTCTTCTAACCGTTTACTGAGTAATCTATGTAAACATGAGGCAATACGCAAAGTTCGACCTCATGCCACAAGTGCAATGTCTGCAGTACACGTGAAGTGTGATGTGTTAGACAAAATGCACCAAAAGCGCGTTATTTACGTCTATGTCACTTAGGTATGAGCGGCTCCACAACTTTGGCGAGGCGGAGCTGCGCTAGCGTGCTTTGCGTTGCGGTTGCCCTATGCTGAGGCATACCTGATCCATCGATCTTTGGTGAAGATCACGATCCCGCCTCGCCAAAGTTGGGGAATCGATAATAGGTGCCAGATTAAGCGAATATTTTGTTCAGCTTCGTTCAGCTGCAGAGCTGCAGAAGGCGAGCAGAATTAATGTCTGCTGCATAATCTCTAATGCTGCCAGGGCCTGCTTCAGCTGCAGGTCCCGCGCAGAATCAACGTTAGTTCTGTGCGCCTTTTGCAGCTGAACGAAGCTGAACAAAATATTCGCTTACTCTGGCACCTTCTACCTTAGGCACCCGCCATATAGTCTGTCCCAATCCTGACCAGGCCAAAATCGGCATGGCGGGAGTCCGCGCCGCGAGGGTTTCGCGCCACATCTGCGGCTAGCTAGTCTGCTCTCTCCTCGATCTCTTCACTCTCTGCGGCAGCGCGCGTATGCAGCGCAATCCCCTAGCGCTGCGAGCGCGCAAATTCAGCCGACGCTTCGGCCTGATCCCGATTGGGGCAGACTGTACAGTCGAGTAGATCTAGCGGTAAATATAGTGTGCTTGCACAGAAGGTGAAATGCGGTAAAATTGGCGCGTGAAGAGATAGCTTCGACTGTGACGCCGGCCAATTGCGCGCGCAAGGTACCCGCAGTACTGGCGTGGCTACTTATTCACGCGCAAATTTCACCGCATATCACCTTCTGTGTAAGCACACTATATTTACCGCTAAATCTACTCGACTGTACTTGATCCTCTTGATCCGCTTAATCCGCTTCGTGTAAAACGCGAGCACTCGGCAGTCTGTCATTTGGCGTCACGTACAGCGAATTTGCTCTCTCTTCTCTTCTTTTTCCATCTGGCTTATGAAGATTCTCAACCCTGATACCTGCGCAGAATAGATGCCTGGTTACTGTCATACAAGATTAGATTTTCACTATTTTATGTGATTCCCTGGGGATCCCCAGGGGATTTCCAATCATTTTCAAAGTCATTTATCTTCCTGAAAATTCGGTGAAGACGCTATAATTGTACTGAGAATATACTACGGCACTGCTAAGCATGTTTTCGACAGGAGAAATGGAACTCGAAGATTGTGAATTTTTCGGTAATCTCCCTAGCTCGCGAGCAGCGTTTTATCGAAGATTTCGATATCCTGAGATTTTGCTTCTTTCTACTACAAACATGCTTAGTGGTGCTTAGTACATTCTCAGTACAATTTTACAGCGTTGTTTTTCACTGAGTTTTCAGGAAGATAAATGACTTGAATTTGGAAATAAGAGGTGATCCTTTGGGAACTCCCAGGACACAAAATAGTAAAATCTGATCTTGTATGACAGTACCCTGGCAAACATTATGCGCAGGTATCAGGGTATGAGAACCTTCATAAGCCAGATAGTGAAAGTTGTAGAAAGATAAACTAGTAGCGAGATATGGCACGTCCTCTCTCAGATCCCTCTTCTTCCCCGCCAGGATGTACGTGCATATAGGCCCAAAAAATAAAGATGCACACTTATTGCCTTACCTCCACATTCTTCGCTTTTGCTACTAGATCCACAGCTCCAGCAGTCGGCATAGATCGCGCAAACCCTGTAATGTGATGACACCTATCTTCATATCGTATGCCAGAGCGATATTTACCGGCAAGCTTATGTGATTGGAAATATGGAATACAACTACAATTGTCTGCAATAACTGCTAGTGAGTCGCTAGGCGTTACAAAGAATGCATTCTTGCCGAGGATCATGTTGCGGTCCTAGAATAGCCGTTTTAACACAAGACTGTCAAGTAGATCATTGTAACCCTACTCCATCCCCATCGAATGCTGCTCCAAGATCGTGCTCTCCTTTACTCATCTTATCGACCAAACTTTTGGCGTACGTGAGATTTGGATCGGGATGGCCTCCTCCGAAGTCCGGTTTCGGATTTGTCCTGAGAAATATCTGGTACTGCTCACTAGTTGGTTCAAACAGAGAAAGAATTCCATGGTATGCGGCAAACAAAGGCGTAGATACGAGCTCATTGAAGTGCTACTTCAATGAGCTCGTATCTACGCCGTCTAATCTTAAAAAAAAAACGCTGGCACTTAGCGAATAAGGTTTACCCGAAGCCTTACTTCATATAGTCCAAACTTGTGAATGCTTTAAGGTTGTGTACCTCATGCAACAGCGACTATCAACCCCAAGCACGTCGCAAAGAATCGTAGAAACATATGGACCAGTAGCACCGTGCATAGAATCTATCAGCAATTCAAACTTTTTCCCGGTCGATCCAGAAAGAAACGATTTGATCTGGAAAAACCTCAAGAGATGCAACGTTAGTGTCAAGTCAGCACAAAGAGTTTGTCTTTGGTACTGCTCTGTAAATCGAAGAATTAAACGAATAATGTTTGCAGGCCCACCTTTGCAAAGTCGAAAATTTTCTGCATCAGTTCAACATAGTCTTTTACGGAATCAACGACGTCAACCACAAAATGCCCCACTCCATCAATATCGAATTCTCTTCTGACAGAGAAAGTGTAGAGTTTTACAATATTGGAGTTACAATGACAACTATAAACTACACGGCAAAAATCAGACATACATTACTGGAAAACGTAGCAATGCCAATTATCACAAAATCCGAAGCTTACCTTCCTAGTGTCTTGAAATCGCATTGCAAATCCTTGCAGATTGCATATGAAGAAATTTTAGTGGTTATATTATAGATAGCATTGGTTACCTGAAAAAAAAAAACCTGAGAAGAACGATTGAAAGGTGGTTAGTTCCCGGAGGTACGGCGGACATACTCAATTCACGCGACGCGCTAAAGTCGACAAATGAGCAGTTTAGTCTTTGTTCACTGTACAGGGTAGATTGAAAAACTGTAATGAAACAAGTGCCAATAGTCCAGCCGCTCTTTGCATAGAACGGCCCTTCATTTTTTTAATCTGTGCACACAGTGATGCGCCACGAACATGTTTGTTCAACAAGTTCTTGATATACAATAAACATGGTACAAATAATAGTTTGTCGAAACAAAAATAGAAATAATATGAGATCCGAGATGTTATGTTCCACTTTGGCCGTCACGCCTCCATTGTGCAAATATGACTTCAACTATTAGGTTGTAAAGTAAGTTCCCGGGCACGTGCGAAAATGTTTTCAAATCGCTGTAACTTCAAGCAGATTGATTCTTCTTCAAAGCTATAAACTTCATCGCAAAGACAATTTTGTCCAGAACATATATTTGTCTTGCTGGCTTCTCAACACCTCACTGCGGTCCACCATGCGCAGAAGGGAAAGAGGTCATCGCGAAAAGTGGTCTACTTGTGCAGGATTATCTCAGGCAGGATGAGAGTGGAAAGCACAAATGCTGTAGTTAGAGGTCTGCTGGGGCTGTTATGGGGCCATTCACGTTTTTGAAGGACCAGCTGCAGATATTTTCCCCAGAAAGTTTGAAAAATCGACCATTCTTTGTCCCCAAAAATGCACTATTTTTCGAATAGGTGACTTTAAAGTCTTCTAGTTCTGCACAGAAAGGACCAAATCTTAGATTACTGGCAACATTGGTGGGGTGATGCCTCGCACATCTTTTGGACTCATCATGCAGGAGTGGCGATCCCCGCAGGAGCGACGCCAGCTGCGAAAAGAATTGCAGTCAGAGGCAAGTTCGACAGCTTGTAATTTCTGAGCACAAATCGCAAAACTCGAGTGCAGTTGCAGGTCAGAAGTTAGGAGGCTTCTCAATCAGATCACCCATAATTTGGATGTTCTTTGAACTGCACAAAAGAATGGCCGTAGGAAGAAAAATTGTGAATTTTTTGTGTTGAAAAGATTTCGCTTCTTGATGTGCAGATCAAACACGTCTTGACATCAATAAAAGTCAGAAGGCGTATTGAAATCCAGGCTTCTCTCTACTGAACAGTATAAAAAACTTGATGTCAAAGTCCGACCGAGCGGCGAAAAATTGCGTTTAAAAATGAATTTCCCAGAATTGCCCGGGAACTTTCTTTACAACCTAATAATTCAGGTCAGACCAAATGTACGTTAGAAGATTGTTTAGGAAACTCACGTGATCAGGAGCAGGTCCACCGTTTTCGCAGTTGTACTTGATGCCGAAATCCGCTTTAGGACCACCAGGATTGTGACTGGCCGTGAGAATAATGCCTAGAACAAAGCAGAAATCACTCCACAGCTTCGCATTGCAGTTGTAGAAGAATACCTCCATCGATGTGCTTCCCTTCGAAACCTTTTCTTATTAGGTTGGATACAGCTGGAGTAGAGAAGAAACCATTTTGCCCGATGATTAGGTGACCGATCTGATAAAAATAGAATTTTAAAGAAATATATTTAAGGATCAAATTGAAGAGACGAAAAGCACAATCAGATTTGTGCTACATTGTAAGCTTCGGTGCGTCTCCCGAACGCACCCACGCGTTACGCACGCGGCTACAAAATATCGGTAGGCTTGTCAGGAAAAGAAGCGAAGTGCCAACCATCAGCTACGCATCAAGTGACAGGATAGAAAAAGTAAGTAAAAGATACGCCAAAAAGTTATAGTAAACGTAAAATGCCTATGATAGTCTACTTAGATGCTGCTTCGAAAATTACTCATAAATGACTTACACCATTAGCAGCAGCAATCTTGATGATTACGTTGACTGCTTCCATTAAAAGGTATCGTCCATCACCTCCAACTACTAGGGTAGCACCTTTTTTCTTGTTTCCTAGACCTCCATCAAGAACGGCTTGAATGAAGTTCTCAGTATAGTGCTCCTGTTGGAATTCGGGCACCTAGATAGGCCGCATAAATAGCTGATCACAGATCACTCCATCAACAGCCGAAACAAGCTATAATAGCTGTCAAAAACTCACACAAGCTCAAACGTTTTGGAAAGGATTGGCGCCAAATAATGGGAAGACCGTCGGATTTTCAAGCAAGACAAAATTTCAAAATTACGAGTATTCGTACGAAAGCAAGAGCAATGTGACAGTATTATCGGCTCCCAGATTCGTGTGAAGGCGGAGTTTTGCCAGCTCGAAGGTGGCGATTATTTAGCAAGAGAAACATGGATGTGGGAGCCAAAAATACGGCTTTCATTTTTGACAAGGGAATGGTCAGAAGTCGAAGTGGCTATTCCAACATGCGTATTAGTGGAAGCAGCACAGAACGCCAACTCAAATCTGCTCACTATCTGCTGATTACCTTCTACGGACCAGAGATGTTAGGCTAATGCTTTGACGTAGCCTTAGGCGTAGTAGTTTTGATAGAAATATCTGCAGGTGTGTACAATACACTAGCCTGACAGATTTATTGAGACAGTCGACAAGTTCTCAAAGGAGCATTGGTAGAAAGCTGGTGATTGTAGGCCCGGCAGAATAAGTTGACACACATCTGGTGAACCTAGTAAGTTATGACACAGCAGGTCATGCTTATGCATGATCTTTACGATTTTCTAGCAGTTAGAGAATAACATAAAAGAGAGCGCAGCTGTAATCGGCACAGAAGTGAAACCGTGCATGCAAAGCGTAACTATAAAGCCGATCTATAGTTGGCTCAATGATGGCCCAAAACAGCCGGGAGGTTGATTTACGAAGGACATGCTCGAGGACAAGCTTCAAAGGCATTCAAGTGTCTAATTATTGCAGTTCGCATGCACCCTCTGCATTAAAACTGTCCATAATCTCGTCCACAGGGGCGTTCCGCAGATATGGAAGATAAATTTGAACTCGACGTTCCACGCTACATCCAATTACAGCTTGTTTCTCTTGTTAGTTTATTTCAAAAAGTTTCTAAAAACAAAAGAACGTACTCGCTTCCTTAATCCGCTAGTTCCTGGCTTCTGACCTTGAAATGGCTTAGTTTGTACAGTCTCGACCTTGACCATACCTGAAAATGATTATCAACATTTACAAGATAACTTTGCTAACAGAAAGGAACGAAAGTGTAACAGAAGCTGAGATCAGACGGTTTTGTTTAGCTAGATGGAATGCACACGCAATTTGCAAATATGGAAAGCGTGAGACAAGAAGTCAATAAGCGAGCACCTTGAGCAAACACCAACAATCAACTTCAACTGCACAAGCATGTTTTGATGTAATCGCCCTCGCAGAATCACAATGGCATCATATTGGTGTTTATCAGAGAGAGATACGCTGATAACCAAAACACAAGAAAGGGCGGCGATCGCACTGCATCCGCCCGCCAGTCTGTGTTTGTCTTGAGCGATAGAACCCGAGCTTTCGGCGGCAATGTCAGCTGTCGACAGAATTCAGCAGATATCTACGAGTGCTTCAAAATCGAGCGAAGGAGCTCGGATAAGGCGAGCCTCGGTTGCCCTTTCCTGACATGCATGGAGCCCTTAGGCAGAATTGATGTCCTTTAGATGCGGTATCTTATTTTTCACTCAAGTCCTGAAAGAATGGCGGTCACTTAAGTTTGGGTCCCCTGTGATAAGATATTGCTCACACAATCTTTATGCATTTTCCTGAGTCGGTAGACAATAAACCTGTGCTTTTCACTGTGAAGTGACTAATACTTGTGTAAACTGCTCCCGCAAGAATGTCGCTAGCACTAAGTCTCGTTGCAAAGCATAAAGACTATATTTACATTGTGTCCAGCAGCTTCAGGCGTCGACTCTTGATTCCATGCGAGGGGTAAACTATTATGGTTGTGGTCCCACGTCAGAAGGCACAACGCGAATGGCGGCCGCCTTGCTGCTCTGTCCGCACTCAAGTTTTGTGCCCACAGAAACCCTCCGCTGGTTTCCGGTGGCAAGACAGGAAGGTGGGGGTGGGGCAGATTACATGGCCTCAGGCCGCTTCACGAACATACGCTGTTCCCTTCTGTGCACATGCTCATGCCTTGGTAGTGGTGCAAAATCGACCTTTTCATTACAATTTAACTTCGAGTTGAAGTAAATCTTCTCCAAGACAATCTTTGGAGGGCAATAGAGACTACTGCGAATAGCAAACCTTTGGCTAACAACCTATACTTCTATCTAATTGTAGCTACTACTAAATAAAAGATTTTGCAATCAGAATCCGAGAATCCACTAGAAAGCAGAAAAACGGCGAGGACATGTTTTTCGAAGCCGCACAATTTGAAATTCCACGGTGCCCACCAAGGTATAAGAGACGCAGAGTCGCTGCGGGACTCTACATTTTAACTGTGGCGGCATGCGTACTCTGCCGCATAGCAGGAATTCGGACAGCTCGGAGGATCCCGCCCTAAGGCGTAAGTTTCCCCACTTTTTGGTCGTTTTTCTTTTTAGGTCGAGCGTTATGGCCTCGCACTTACGCGATATTCTGTCTGAGGAGGGCCACTTTCGCATGGCACTGACAATGAGATTCCAAAACCCCAACTTGCCTGGACACTGCCTTTAAAAGCAGTGTCCCGGCAGATTCGGGTCCTGGGGGATATACGTGTGGTGGGGTCCCTGGTCACCCCATCGACCTCCAGGCGCACTCCGGCTGGGTGATGTTCTCCCTGGGCCGAGAAAATGGCCCTTGAACCGGCGCGCGCAACCCCAACTGGCGCGCGCTTGGACGGCCTTCCCCGCCTATTCGGCGCGGGACCCCACGAGCGCTCTCCCCCATGATGCATGCTATCCAAAGCAAGAATTACAGGCGGCAGGATCTTCGTCTGAGGACCTCCCCCAACTTTCCATTAAAAATCTCGTCCAAGCTGCTTTTCTGGAATTCGGAAAACGCCCCAAAATCGGCCTTTTCAGCCCGTTCAAAGCTCAAATTCGGATTCTACGTGGCGAAAAGACCTGAAACATGCAAAAAGGTGGAGGTGCAAAATCTGCCGGGACACTGCCGGAGCAGCCGGGCAAAATTCCGGCTAAAGATTGTATTGCTTGAATGGGATTTTCTTCCAGCTTATTCTGAAGATGCAGCTTCGAGAGCACAAAAAGATCAATACGGACTGTTTTAAGAGCCCTTGGTTTTGAATTTGGACATGGTGTTGCAGTCTAACTTTTCTCTTATAGGCAGTCCGGGAATGATGTCCGTCCGGGAATGTTCATAATGGAGGAAAATGGACTTTCAATCCCCATTTTATTCGTTTGCGATAGAAACTGGTCGGACTTATCTCTCGCTAGTATTATCCAAAAGTTCTTAACTCATCGTAACCACGAGGCAAAGCGGTGGGATGAAAATGATTCAACCCTACTTGAGCTTTCGCTTGCGAAACAATCATGCGAAAAGTTCATTTAGAATGGGGCAAAATGGGATCAACTTTTTTATTTTTTTATTTTATAAAAAATGGGATCTACCTCCATTTTAAATGGACTTGAAAGTCCAATTTACTCCCAGCAAGGTGAGCCTGGGACTAAGCCCATTTTTCACCTTTTTGCACATTATTAACTGCGTTTTTTTTTGAGAATGTGTTCTGTAGCCTATTTTGAGGTAACAAGAGAGTGGAAAAAGTTTTATGTCATTTAAAGTCTGAAATAATGTTTCTTTTTAAATACAACGCTATAAAGTCATGGAAGAAGGTTAAATTCATCAAAATATTTGCTGACAAACTGAAATGCTCCCGAATATTAGGTCGATGCGAAAATTCCTATTTAAATCAAATAAAGTTTGTTAACTCTTCAAATCATCAACCAAAATTAAATTCACGATTTCTACTTGAAATTAAAAAGATTTACGTTTCAATATAATCACGCAGAAGCTATCTTTTGACTAATCTCGTAGAACCTAACCTCAAAGACGGCATCTGAAACGTGACTGAGTTTAGTCCCAAGAATCAGTGAAGTGCCGCTAGATAGCAAGAAAAATTCTGTGAAAAATTTTATAAGCAATAGTCCATGCATTCAGAGATATAAACATTAATGCTGGAAGACAAAGAAGAGATAAAGTAGAACATTTGCGGAGACATCTTTTGCGGACTCGTAGTTTTTTCGATTCAAAAACCCTTTGGGTTGTGTAATACAAGGTTTCTTCGAACAGTCGACTTTGGGATCTACTGCTTACCCGGACATATTCGCTTTGCTGAATCCGAAAATCTACACTGGATAGTGCGAAAACGGCGAAAAAGGGTTTTAACTCATTAGGGCAATCAGAAGGTGGGCGAGGTCTTCCCTACTCTACCCTTTGAAGTCACCTTCCCAACTTCCGAAGCGATCTTCTGCTCTCTCCAGTGTGGCAGTGTCAGCATAGCGAATAGGCCCGGGTAAGCACAAAATTTCAAATCGACTTCGGACACTGCCTTCAAACGAAAGGCTCTAATCACAGGTCACAGAGATCACCAGTTTGATGTTTGTTTTGGTTCTAAGGAATCTGACATCAAATCACTAGCGAATCTTAGGATCATAATCGAATTCCAACTACAAGTGTGCAGCAGGCTGTGCCCAAATATCTGGAGCTTCTTTGTGAACACGCTCAACGACTAACCTGCTGATCACTGCAATATTTCATTCCAAAATGAAACTGAATGTTTTCAGAAGGCCAACTTGAGAGTTTCGTTATCTTGAACAATGGAAGCAGCACTTTATTGCAAGAAATGCGAATTCCAAATTCACTCCCGACCGTAGTCATGATGTAGTGGCTTCGCAGGCCTTGGATGAGGAAATACTAGGTCGAAGCCAAAGTAATGAGCTTTGCTTATCCAGCAGTGGTTATGGAACATATCATTCGATAGGGCAGATCAAGATTAGGGGATGGCATTGGAAAAGTCGCAACAGACGATCTACGTAGGCAGAAACAAAATCCAAAGATTTTCCTAACAACAATCAGAAGCCTGTCTGAAAAGACGTCCGACTTCATCATGCGTATCACAAGACATTTATATGTACACTTGCCTATTTTTTTGTAGCCGGAAATTGAAAAAGAAGAATAGGCCAAAAATACGGGGTGGTCCACATGAAGTGTGACACAAAAAGAATCATAAGTTTGCAAAGACTGAATGGAAGTAGAATCTTTTGTCCTTTGATAGGGGAGGGAATTCTGTGTAAAATCCTTTAAGTAATTACAAATGGTGCTTGAAGAAGGTTGAAAATTTATTTTAAACCTCTAAAGATTTGTGGTATTGGATTAGCCATGATAGAAAAGTTAAACGTCGCATTTGTTAGAGTATGTCAGTTCTTATTTTCACAGCCTTTAGCCACAGAAAGTAAAATAGTGTACATATGGATGGCTAACGCGATATGTAACTTTTTTGATCAAACTGAAGGTTTGTGGAGTTTCTTGGACAGAAATGCGATTTTGGGCATTCAACACAAACCATTTTCTCGACTTTTGCCGTTTCGGACATAAGACCCATTGGGGCCGACTTCTGGGTAATTTTTTGATCAGATGGGTCCTTTGGTCCAAAAGGTAGTCTTCTTATTGAAGTTCAGACTTGAAGTCTGCAAACGTGTGCCGAAGACTCATGTAATATTATCGTAATTTTACGGCGTCTAGACATGGGACGCACCGGTGCGTCGTACTTTCATAAATTTTGCATTCTTTTTCCAAAGTTCCAGTGTATCGAACTTTTGCGACTGTTATAACACCATTTTGTGGAGCTTGCTTTGCTCTAATTAATGATATGTTTCGACATTTCCTCCTTACCGCGCCAGGATGAAACACTCATTACTCCTGCACTAATGTAATACTTTGAAAAAAGGTGTTCCCCTTCCCTGCAATAAGCTAAGCGATCGGAGCAGTACACATATCGCGTGCTTCGGCGCGTTCCCGATTTTTAGGCACTTTGAGAACAACGTTGGCCATAGGATTCGAAGTGTCTCGTCTTTTCCTAATTTGTTGTGCTTAGGTATAGTTATGAGAGGAAGTGCCAACAGTCCTTGGTGGTCACTTCTCAATCGGAATACCCGCTCGAAAGTGCAAGAAATTAAGTCTCTAGCCAAAAAAGAATTATTTTCAAGGCTTTGTAAAAGTCTATGAAAGT